ATACGGTTCTCACTAAAGATCTGGGCTGACAATTTCCGGGCTTTCGAGTGTAGCGTTTCATACAAGGCTTAACTTAGGGTTCAGGGTTTAGGGTTTAGGGTCTAGGGTTTAGAGTTTCGGTGAGTGTCTACAGGGCTTCTTGAGGATATGGGTGAGTAAATATGTCCGAGTCCTTGTGAAGAGGTAAGTGATACAAAGCCCTGCCCAGCAATGCTTCTACTGTCAACTTCTATGCTTTCATTACTTGGAGGCCTGGGGGACTTGGTAAGTCGGTTATAAGTAGGGTTACAATTGGGGTAACTCCAGTTAGGGTACTTATAACTCTACTTATAACCTACTTATTAAGTCCCCTAAGCCTCCAAGTACCCTCCCAGAACCTTTGCTCTTCGAAGCTTTCCTCGCCGGAGCACTGAGGCCCCAACCATGACAAGTTACCTACGTATCTCTGGTGCTTTGCAGTTCTAGGACCCCGAAACACAGCAACCTCCTACTGGCCCTATACATACCCCAATAAAATTCTTGTTAAAGTTCTTCGAACCCCATATAGAACCATTACGACCCTACTTCTTGGGGTGTACTGAGCTCGAAAGCCGATTCTATCGAGCCCTTGACCAACGACGAAGGGCTCGGATGCAGATGAGCATCAACTGCGAAGGCACCCCGACTCAAACTGGTTGGGCCCTTGCGGGTTTGGGGCTTGCAGACTTCTGAGCTCAAGTTTCTCAGGCTCAGATTATGTCCGGTTTTATTCAACTCGCCGGATGACATCGCAGTCTTTGAAGCTATTGGTAGCCTGTTTGTCTCCCGTGGTGTCTGCAAATGCAACTTTGAGCCAACATCCTCTGTTCTTTGCCCAACTACAAGAACATCGTAAAGCCTTAAACCCAGACCCCCGGCACCTGTAAAGCATAGATTTTCGAGTAGTTCCCGTACTTGCGACTGACCTTCGAGCCGCTGTGCGTAGTTGCTCAGCCAACTTCCATTCAGGGTTTGAGCAAACTTAGGGTTTAGGGGTTCAGACAATAGTGTGTAGCGCTCAGGGGCATAGGTCTTAGGCTTTTTCGGCTTAGGGTTGAATATTTCCTGGTCATTTCGCATATCCGTTGTTTTCAACATGTTCCCCTAGCACACGTCGATCTTAATGTAGGGCCCTTAGCACCACCGCAAACAGGGGTTATAGGCAAGGTCCAGGACATTTTCAGGTGGGTAGTTTCCATTATAAGATCCTCATAGAAGGTCTATATACCTTATAGAAGCCTTATAGAAGCCCTATATACCCTAAACTCCCCGCTGTAAGACATTCTGTCAAGGCTGGATCCCAGCCCTGAGCTTCGGTAGCCGTAGCGAAGCTGTAGAACACGGCGCCATACATATATACCCACCCATGTGTATTTGTATATATACAGAGAGAGAGAGAGATAGAGAGAGATAGAGAGATAGATCGATAGATAGACAGATAGTCGCCATAGCAGTTAAGGTGCAAACAGCAGAAGCAGAAAAAAAGTCCGTAGATATCCTCGAAGGCCAGGAACCATCTTATGACGATCTGCATGGTTTCGAGCATCATAGGAGTCTTTAAGCTTCCTGGTATAGTGGACTGCGTACGGCCCCCACCCCGTAACAGTTAGATCACATACATATATATATATATATATCTAGCACTGAATATGACCCCTAGTACAGACTGCTACAGGGCGGGGGCAGTACCCAAGAAATAGTACCTCGAAGGTTTTCGACCACTAGAACTCATACAAAATCTTTTCTCTTCTAGACACCCTAGCGAGAATGCATGCCAAGGTTCGTGAACAGACAACTGGCCACCTGCTTGCACACGGCGTGAGTGCTGTCGGAAGCAGATGCAACAGGTTTTCCGCTTGTGACTGCTCTTGTTGATTTATATTATGGAACCAGAGCACTGGTCCTACTATTCAGGTTGCACCTCCCTTTATGCAAAAACTGCCACCGCGGATTCCCGATGCAGACATGTGCGGTTCTCGGAGGAGCCTAGAAAGTCCGCAATCCATTCCCAAACCCGAAACCCCAAACCCCCAAACCGGGTTTAAATTTAAAGCCCTAAACCTCTGAACCCAAATCCGAAGCCACATCGGATCAGGGTTCTAGGCAGGCAGCCCTGCATCGGCCCTTTCTAGCGCTGACTCTCTCAATTTGCCGACCTCCTTGGAGCATCCTTTGGCCTCGGTTTAGGGTTTAGGGTTTCGGGTTTGACTTGCGCTTTCGTGGTAGTATGGCGGTAGCTGGAAGATGGTTGTTGAGCGAAGCTGTTTCGCTGCATACAGAGGGCTCAGGCGCTTAGGCACCTTTCATTCCCGGTCTACCCGTATCTGGTATGCAGCCCAAACCTTTTTCACCTGTGCCAATCTTTAAGAAGCCTATACTCTTTAGAATCAACTACTAGAGGCCCTAGCTTACAGCCCTGTAAAACACCCGCATAAAATTCACAACAGCCGTATTCAAATAATTACGGCCCCTATACTCCAGATCCCTTATGGAAACCCGTATGGAGCACTTACAAGAACCTTATTCTAAACCCTTTGCTGGAAACCTGAACCTTAAAAACCCTTCTAGCTCACAAGCCCAAAGCTCCGAAATCGTGTCCCATAGTGTGTATTGCAAGGAGAGAGAAGAAGAGCGACAGCGGCCGACGGTGCGACCCGTCTCGGCGTCTTTGGCACCATTTAGGGCGGTTTAGGGGTTTAGGGTCCCCTAACTGGACTCCCTGATTAAAGCCAAATAGTAGGAAAAAGGGTACCCTTATCATTAAGGGGCTACTGGGGGACCTAGCTAAACTCCTAAACCCTAAATGCCTAAACCCTAAACCCTAAACCCTAATGCCTAAACCCTAACGCCTGCCCGTTTTCGGGGTATGGCTGCTATGTGCGTGATGTGTGCATGTTGCCTATTGTTGAGCTTGCTATGATAGGGTTGCAGTAGCTGCTGTGGGTGCTTGTTATAGGTAAGTCTGCTTTGGTCTATGGGTTAATGTATGTGAAGGGGTGGGTGTGGTTGACAGCAGCGGGCAACAGCCTCAGCCAAAGTGGCATTCGACCTAACTTACCAGGCAGGTGGAAAAGAGGTGTCAAAAAAAAACCCTAAAGCCTACCTGGATGACCAGGAGAGAGAGGAAGAAGGACAGCAGCCGGCGGGCCGACCCACCTCGGCGTCTTTGGCACCAACTTGGAGTTCATCGTTCCTGTTAGGGGGGGGGGGGGGGGGGGGGGGACTTAGTACGTGGGTAATAAGTAGACTTATAAGTAACCTAAAAGGTTCGCTAGTTGGGGTTATGATACTTAAAAGCCTACAGAATAACTACTTACTACGTCCCCCGACCCTCCAAGTAAGGGCAAAGGTGAAGGCCCGTGAAGGCCTAGGGGGTTTCTCGGTGCTTCTTAGGGCTTTCAGCATTGATGCAGAGGTTTGTAGGGCTTATGATCGCGGTTCTTAAGCCCTAAACCCTACACCCTAAACCCGTCTAAGAACCCTAAACCCTACACCCTAAACCCTTCTAGGTTCTTTTTGTTGGCTTGCAGGGTCAAGGTTTCGAGATGGGATTGGTTAGGGTTGCGGAGCTCGGTTTAGGGTTTTAGGGTTCCTTTAAAGGGATCTATAAGGGGTTTAGGGTTTAGGGGTTTATGGTTTACGGTTTTAGGGTTTAGGGGTTTAGGGTTTAGGCGCGGAGCTTGGCTATGGTTTTCAGTTTAATTGCCTTGCCAGGGGCGCCTCGGGTTTAGCTGAGTTGCGTTGGCATGTCGGATGTGGGAGATTGTAGGTAAGGGATTCTTCCAGTGTTTCTGGCTCTTAACCCGAAGCCCTAAACCCTAAACCCTAAATGGAGATTCTCCGGTTTTATCCGGCGAGGTAGCAGCTTTGATGGTTAGCATCTAAGCCTTCTGGGTCTCAAGGGTCACGGTCATACGGTTGATGATATAAATCCTGCATTGCCCATAATAAGGAATATTGAATATACCATAATTCCCGTAGTTTAGGCTCCTTAAGGTAACGCAGGATGTTTACCATCAACAATAGTTTCGGGCTGTAGACCATTAACGTTTGGTTTCAGAGCTTTCGGGCTTATCAGTTGAATGAGGATTGAGGTTTCCACGGCTTGTAAACTTTAGAGTACCTCTATACCTCTAAGGGGTTTAGGGTCTGAGGTTTCGGGTTCAGGGGTTTAGGGGTTTAGGTTTCTGGGGTGTAGGGGTTTATAAGTAATTCTAGTTTGGGAGGTTCCTCATTATAGTTATCGTTTAATGGGCCCCAAAGCCTTGTTCGAATTATTAAGGCCCCTACATTAAATAACCCTAAACCCTAAACCCTAAACCCTAAACCCAAACCTTAAACCCCAAAGCCCTTAACTCTAAACCGATCTAGGGCGGCCTCCTTTTCCAAGAATAACCCTCAACCCCAACACCTGCAAGTTCGAAGCCCCTCACCAGAAGCAAACCATGCACCCTGAACATGGGGGTTTAGGGTTTAGGGTTTAGGGTTTAGGGTTTAGGGTTTAGGGTTTAGGGTTTAGGGGTTTAGGGGCATTCCTTAGAAACCAGGACTTCCAAGTTGTGTCACTAATACAAGGCCAAAGACTTGCGACAAAAAGGGATGTATAGAAACTCCTAAACCCTAAACCCTAAACCCTACCTGGAAAACCAGTGTACCTTAATGAAGTGCAACCGAGAATAGTTGTATAAGAAATGGGCAACTGACTAAAGTGTAGCTTTCTTGTGGTTCCGCACATTGGGACCGATGATGCAAAGCAACACAGAGTCTGATCGAAAACCCACAAAGAGCATGATAAACTACGTCGGGAAGGGTGCATGCTGAACTGCGAAGACGATGTGACCCAGCAGCTTGCACGAACAACTGTAATCATCCGAAAGAAACGATCCCTCGTAGACAACTGGCGGTAATATATGGAGGAGCTGATAGGGGTGAGGAGATTTTCTGACAAGAGCAACCCCATTGCTCGGAAATGTTTTCCCCCTTCACCATCGCATCGCTAGGTTGAGCAAGTAGCGCTGCACAGTGCGATCATGCACTGTGCGGATGGATACATTGCGAGATTGCCCGGCGACCCGCCCTATGAAATCCTCATCCATTTGGCAGGAGAAGGCCAGGACGTTTAAGCCCAGAACGCCTTCGCTGGCATTCTTTTGGAGCGAATGGAAAATGTGCGCCATGAGGTGGAACTTCGGCATGTACTTGAATCTGGGCTGTCCCAGGCCCAGAGCACGTGCTGCCGCTGAATTGAACGATTTCATGAAAATCATTCCTTGCCTGGCCATTTGGCCACAGACTTCGGGCCTCACCCACAGCGGCTGAGCATATACCGATCTCATGAAGTTGTTGATCGCCACAAGCCCATTGTATATGACTGTCAGCACACTCTCGAGCTCGGAATCACAATCAGCCAAAACCTGCTTGTATTTCCATTCCAGGAATTTCACCAAGATCGTGGTATCGTTTCCTTTGAACCACCGCCTCGGCTATAGACCCTATAAGAAATTATTATAACTATATTTAGAACTCTTCGTACTTTAAAATCAAACCACCGAAACAAACACCAGACACGCCCAGACTCGCGACCGGAAAGTCAGCAGAAGTGTCCAGGCCAATTTGTTGTTTCGTCAAACTCGTCATATGCAAATTGTAACCGTTAGCCTTGCACCAGTTTCGAAGCTCTTGGAAGAAAGAATCCAACCGTCTCGGAAGTGTACCAGCCCCGACGACGTCGTAATCCATCAATGTCACCTTTAATTGTGCCCAGATGCGATACACCTATATATATATATATATACCGACTCGAATTTGTGCGTAGAGATGTACATTACATAAACTCAAAACACATGCAACGAGTATTGACCGAACTTTCACGAAGCCGCCATAGCCGATGCAGCATAGTCTCCGAAGACTCCCTTGTGTGCGGCATGAAACAAGTCAATGCAATAAAATCCAGCAATATTGCCGCGGTCTTGTGGAAGCTGTGCCAGCGGGCTAGCAACCGTCCAGGGCAACGGATTGTCAGCATGGAGCCACCTCGCTTTCGACCCAAACTCGTTCCAAGGAAAGTTTTTTTGGCCTGCTCTGCAAAGATGGCAGATTCCCGGCGGAGAATCGCTTACTGGAGCATCTCTCAGATGGTGTCGTGTAAGGCGGCCAGCTTTTGTCAAAGCTGGCCAATCTCCCTTGCAATTAATGACAACAGGCCAAACCTTCGACAGGCCGGGAACACCATCGATCTCTATCCCGTTCTGGTAGCAATCGTTGAGATCCTCCTTCCAGTGCTCCAGCAAGTCATATAAAATCTTTTTCTTTCTGGCGTAAGTCCTCGCCAACAGCACCGAATACAAAAACCTTGTGCAGTAAGTGCTGCCGGTGAAATTGATACCCGTGCTTGCGCTGCTGCTCTTTCTGGAGCCTCGACCACAAACCGGCTGCACCGATAACACCATGATTCCCTTCTTCTTTAAAGAAGTTCCTTCATCTAGATGTAGCATCATGGGCACACAGGCATGCAGGCGGGTGGCATGGTCATTGAATACATCATGCTGCGGGTGAAGTTTTCGATAATTGCTCCAAAAGCTTCGCAGTTCAGCAGGACCATTTCCCACCAAAAGATGATCAATCTTGCCTTCGAAGCGATTGAGTGTCTCAAGTATAGATCGAAGTGGCAATGTAGGATGGGCTTCCTTCAAACCAATATTTGTGTAAGTCACAGGTATAGGGGCTTGCAATCCATATTGTTCCAAAGTCTTGGGCATCCTGGGCTCATGGCCGGTGGAATGCAGCCTGTTCAGCTCTTTCAGAAACCCCAGGGAAGGCATCGGCTCAGGCCCCTCTAGCTCTTTGTACATAGCTGAAGCGATTTTGCAAGCATGCTTTTCGGATACCTCAGATTGACATAGTTTCGGAATAACAAGACAAAAAAAAAACTGCCGGAGTATTGTAAGACGGAAACAACAGAACCATTTTAGATGTTTATAAGGCACCTTAGCCGATATCCTAGCTATTGAAAGACGAAGCACCCCAGAAGCCACACATTCGGCTATAGTTTTCGCTAGTGGACCGCATGATCCACATGATCCAACCCGCCGACGCTTTGGCGGACCTGCGTGGTGGGGCTACTCGGTGCTCAGCATTGTTGGGCCGTTGGGTTCATGCTGTCAGTCAGCCAGTCTATCAGATTGCTTTTTTCGAGAGCGGCACACGGTTTCATCCTACCCTGCACCACACCGTTCCCCTGAACTCAAGATTTCCCCGTGGTTGCCAATACAACTATAGGGAGTGCAAAGATATTGGAGCCGATGGAGCATATACTGCTGACCCCAACATAAGCACACATAAGCATAACGTAACCCACTGAGTTTTGTTTTAGTGCTCACCACATAAGCTTGTGCCAAGAATCAGACCTCCTAGAACGGTTTATAAGCGAAGTATAGCTCCAACAGCTTTCGGGTGAAAAGTGAGAGCGGAACTCTCGCGAACCCAAGGGCAGCCGTGCGCTTCTGCGGCTGTGGATCGATGCGAGGATTCCCGGAGGCGATGTTATATAGGCCTAGGGGTCTAGTCGATTACATAGATTAGGTAATCAGTACAGTTCCGGGTCATGTCCAAGCAAAACCTACTTAGCCTTGCTTTTCTTGGCACCCTTAGGCTTGCCAGGCTCCTGAGCAGGCCTCTTCTTGCCCGTGTTAGGAGCCGAAGCCTTCTTGGGAACCGCCTTTTTTGGAACCTCTGAATCGTCGCTCTTAGCCAGCTCAGCCTTCGAAGTGGATTTCTTCAGCAACGTCCTCCCAATTGCAGTTTCCAGTTACAAAGTTTATAAAGTAATGTAGATGTAATTGAGGATTTAGGACCATCAGCGAGGGTTTTGGTATACTTCTCAGTGCATACATGAATTTAAAGTAGAAGTGTCCTGGTACTCTTAGTAGTAGGTGTAGCAGAGTAGGACAAGTAGTAGCAGCGGTAGTAGTAGTTGTTGTTGCGGTCGTTGCCGTTGCCGTTGCCGTTGTGGTTGTGCTTGTTGTTGTTGCTGGTGGTGGTGCCTGTACTCATGGCGGTGGTGGTGGACGTAGTCGTGGCGGTGGCTGGCGTGGTGGTGGGCGATGTTGCTGCTGCTCATGTTGTTGTTGTTGTGGCTGGTGTTGGCTGGTTGTCGTTGTCGTTGTCGTCGCTGTTGCTGTTGCTGTT